TCAGTCATGATTGCATCAATCATTGCCAGCACTAGCTCCTTCATAGAGCTGAGGGCATACATCTGTAGGTGAGACTGGGAAATGAATAAGGAGAAGTAGGGCTATGGACAATGTTTTCACAATAGAGGACAAAGCCCCAAGAATACTGGAAAAAGAAGTGACAATAAAAAGAACTTAAAATGATCACAATTACTAGGAAAAAGCACCAAAGCCTGACATGTCCCTAGATGGGCTGGCCTGTATCCTAGGGTATTGAATGTAGTAGCTGTAGAGAGGAGTGCAGTCATTTGGCTAAATTCCAAAATCCCCTAGATTCCGAATTGAGAACCACAAATGCAACACCAGTGTTCAAACTGGAGGGAAGCAGAAAGCCAGAAACTACAGGCTAGTTAATCTAACAAATGCCGTTGGGAAATTCTGAAGTTCATTATCAAAGTGACATTTAGGGACAGTTATAACATAATGCTATAATCAGAGCCTGGTTTTATGAATGTGAATTATTTTTGACAAATTTATTCAAGTTTGTTGAGGATGTAACAAGCAAGGTTGAATAGAGGGAATCACTTAAATATAGTTTAGTTGGATGTCCAAGAGGCATTTGATAAGGTGCCACAAAAAAAGGTTACTGCACAATTAGTAAGAGCTTCTGGTGGTGTGGTGAATCATTAACAAGGATAAAAGATTCCTTTGCAAACAGGAAACAGTTGGGTTAAATGGGTTAAATGGGTCATTTTCAGGCTTACAAACTGAAACAAGTGTGGGGGTCAGTGTTACGACCAAACTATTTACAGTGTATAGTATTGACTAGGATCCACGCACTGACTGAATTTTAATTAACTGTGGTGCTGATACAAAGATAGCTTATTCCCATTTAAAAACTGAGATGACGAGGAATTGCTGCTTTGAGGTTCATTAGTCTTTGGAATTCTCTTCCACAGAATGTAATGGAGGCTGGACCATTAAATATTACTTGAGGCTGAGTATTGATTGATAAGGGAGTCGAGGGTTATGGTAGCAGGAAAGTGGAGTTAAGGCTACAATCAGATCAGCTGTGATCACATCAAGTGGGAGAGCCGGCTGAATGGCCTAGTCCTGTTCCTATTTTCCTGTGATTCTATTATTAATATGAGGGCTTGCTGACATCCCTACTGTAAAAAGTGAGTGCTTGAGGAAAAGGGAGACTCATGGAGTGCTTCAAAATGGAAGCACTCACGAAAGAGTCACTGGAGATTAATACTGTGGGGTACTCAGTGTATGGGCAACCCCTTCATAACAGTGTGTTAGGCTGCGACGTGTCTCCCTCACATTTTGCATTGTCTAATGGATCTCTAATCTGCTGCTGAGAGGCTGCGTCTCTGAAGCATTGCCGCAGTGGGTGACCCCAATTATGTCAGTAAACTTCTGCATGCTTCAATTAAAAGCTAGGTTCTAATTTAGCTCGATTGCTTGCCCACTTCTGATCAGTGAGATGCAATTTCATTGGCTGGCCTGATGGGAAAGAGATTAGGAGCCGACCCAAGGTAATGACATGTAAATTCCTCCTGCTGCAACCTTTAAATTGGCCTGCTTGGATCTCGGGCAAGGCTGACAAAAGTGAACACATGAATGTATGAGGCACAAACATTGGTGAGGAGCCCCTGTCCCAATGGGATCAGGAGGTTGAAAAGTGGATGTGTAGTCTAGTCTAGACTAGACTTCAGAAAGGCCAGCCTTTCTGAACATTGCCCATTGTCAAGATGTTTGAGCATTGATGTGATTAGAATCATCATCGGGAGTCATGAGTATCATCAATTTTGAGCAGTTTCTGATCAGAAATACGTTGTGTTTTATATTTATAAGAAATTGTTAGATATTGCTTTTTCTTATGTTTTTATCTCAAGTAACCGACTGTTTATTGAGTATAATTCAGCAGATCTTCTTGATGATCTTGCCTCTCTGTGCTCTCATTGTTGTTCCCTTCACCAGCTAACACATATACCAAGTTGCTAGCTGAACATATTACGAAATCCATCATTCATAATTGTGCATAAATACAATGTACAATGGAGAACAGTGAAATGCACGGTCTTTTTCCTATCTTAAATATACTAAATGTCACAGACCTTGGATGTCGCTTAACCTCAAAAAGAACTGAGTATTTCATTGTTTCCTATTATTAATTTTTTTAACAATTTCTTCAACCACCCTCTCATATATTTATTGCACTTGCAAAACATATTAAGGGAAAAAATACACTATAATCATTAAAAGGTCAAATCCTCATATCCTCAATCTTAAAAATAGAAACAGAACATGTCACTAAGGAAGCCTTAAAATTATCAGCAAAATCTGCTGACCTGTTATCTTCATAGTCAATATGCTTTGTATATCTTGATAGTGGAAAGACATATGGTACATTTGTGTAGCTATTAAAAATACATTTCTATACGGTTTTAAAATATCCTTTATTAAAGTCCAGTTCACTTTTTTCACAGTATAGTGAACTGCAAATAATCTTTGCATAGCTGTTCCAACTTTTAAAGTATTACTATATTAGCTTCAAATATACCCGCAACGTAATGCAGAATTATCCGCAAAGATTGTAACTAACAAAAATCGTTATCACCAAGGGAGCAGAAAATCTATATGCCTTATGTGGACAGAAGAAAGCAAGTTGATGTAATTATGTTGAGAATGAGTCTAGTGACTTCAATTTTTTTTTCATCTTGGCTGGTAGCCATCAAATTATTGAATGTGTTGGAAATGCTGAGGGACTTCATCTTCTTACTTAGAGCTCATGTCTTGGTGGACTGAGGATCATCAATCCGTTATTTCAAAATCATGTAGATGTTTGAATCATGTGACCTATTGTGTTTAATTGTCCCTAATGAGCCGTATCAGACAACAGGTACAAGTATAAGTGTATGTCATCTTATTGGAGTGGTGCTGGGAAAACCTCCTGCTGTGTGCATCTAAGAATCATTATTAGCTAACACAAGCAGTTGTGTCAGCATCTTAAGCCAAATTTCATGGCTGGCTTTCATTCAGTGGTCTCAAGTCAAGCAGTTACGGCAGTAATTAATGTTGTGCATTCCTGTAATAATGTATGACTTAGTTCTTGATGTTTGAATTAGAGATGGTACTAGTGGTGTGACTTTCTTGTGAACTTCTACTTCAATACAAGTGTCACTGAATAGAAAGGTTCAGTATCCTTTTTTAAACTCATTCATATTTAAATTCATTCTAGGCTGAATACCTGTGTTCGGAGATGTTGCCAGGAATTGCATATTTTGTTCATGCTTATGTTGGAATCTGTGTGGTCTTTTTTTTAAAGCAAAAAAGAACATATGAATATGATTGCTTGCAATCTTACTGGATGTCAGTGCACTGTAATCAAACACACATTATGTTGTAAGATTGTTGAGACATATACATATATGTGTGTGTAGTCAGGATTTAGAATTTTAAATAAATAGTCTCACCATCTGATTTCTTTTCAAAAATAAAATCTGAATGAATATTACAATTAACCAGTTTTATTCACCTTATTGTAGTTCTGTATTTTTCTCAATATTTTTGCATAAATGATACCATAGGAATCTTTAAAAGGAGGTTTTGTTTTTAGAAGCAGTTTGTAGCTTCGACTAATTGAGATAACCCCGCAGAGAAGGCTGCATTTTATCATCCCTAGGTAGTCGGCTGAGGGGCCGGTAGACTGGCACAGTTGTGCAGGAAGATGGCAAGTGTTGTGCGCAGCATCTTCCTTCCCCATGCAATTTGTCAGTCGCAAGAAAGAAGACATTAAGCAGTCCATCCACAGTCCAGTTGAGTCACTCAGGTGAACAAATTAAGCTCACTCAATGAACATTGTGTTAGCGGCAAGGGGGGCCCAATGCCAGGTAGGGAAACAATCCAGTGGAACTTCCCAGTGGGCTCGGAGGTGGGAGTAACAAACTGTCCTGAGGCCAAAGCTCTGTACAAATGTTCAAGCAAGCTGAAACGCTATTCCTTTGTTACTAGGCCCTGTTGGCTCTATGTCTCAGGTCAGCTGACTAGATACTGTCCTAACTTCTCTAATCTGTAGTAACCCTGCAGCCATTGTAACATAATCAGGGAAGCACCAAGACCAATGAAGTGCATCACCATTAGTGTTGATTAGATCCTTTAAACTCAGGGACTTTGCAAATCTTGATTCTAAATGATGTTGCGAACGCTTTGTATTAATGATACTTAATGTTGTTTTTAAAAGAAATCAGATAGGTACAAACAAAAGAATGTTCAAATTAGTTACAGTTGTAAAACTGATTTTGGAGCTAGATCCTGAACTAAATGTCCTGACACAGAGGAAGGATGGTGACACATTGGGGTTTCAATCTCCACAGTTTCTTGAATACATTATGTAGGGAGGCTGCAAATGGAAATGTGAAATTGTATCATTTTTGAACTTTACTTGAGGCAGTGAGGCAAAGTTGGTGGTTGGGAGAGGGGTATGATGTTGGGAGCAGTGTTCTCGTAAGGACAGAGTTGGCGGAGTGATGCGTGTCGACTGCATTAGGGTGAATCATGCTGTATCTTGGTGGTTGGAAAGAACTCAGTGCATCTCATCTTGGATCCAGAATTGTCAGTCTAAGTAAACAAAGAAATATTTAAAAAAACATACAAAGAAATTTTGGGGTTTGTGAGGTGGGTGAAGGAGATTGGAATTGAGATAGTGGTGAAACCTACCCAGCAAAAGGGAAATGTCCTGATATTCATCCATTTTGATGATTTCAAATTAAATGATTGGCTGGGCCAGCCAGATGGAGTTATCTGGCTCTGCTGTGTGCATGTTATTATTTAGAGTTAGGTGAAAAATTCCAAATGCTGCACACCTTGAAGTTTACAGTAATGTGAGTCTAAATGCATGTGATTTAAAGTAGATTTGACTGTTACAATGCACAATTTTAAAGGAACTATTGAAATGCAACAGTTACTGCCCTTGTTTTTCTGCCAAAATTAAGTGTTTTTTTTTTTGTTTACAGGTTTCTGAAAGGTGATTTTCACATTGAAGTATGCATCAATGATTACCTAGATGTATTCTGCCCTCATTATGCTGGCTCTGTACCCGAAGACAAGACTGAGCGATATGTTCTCTACATGGTGAATTATGATGGCTACATTTCGTGCGATCACACCTCCAAAGGGTTCAAGAGATGGGAGTGTAACAGGCCTTACGCATCTAATGGTCCTTTAAAATTCTCTGAAAAGTTTCAGCTGTTTACTCCATTTTCATTAGGATTTGAATTCAGGCCTGGCCGAGAATATTACTACATCTGTAAGTAATCTTCCTTTTCCATTTATTTTGCCAACAATTTGAAAGCAATGCTGCGTAGCACCATGTCATGTGATTGATCTTGCAAGGTAAATGTTATTTATTATTTAGCTTTAAACCTTTGTTTTTACTCTTGCAAGATATAATCCTCTGAAAAGCAAGCATTTAACCAGTATTTCTTTTGCAAACATATGAGTCACCGATGAATCATATTTTATATCTTATACTTTTGTCACAGAGACATTACATAAACAATAACTGTTCCTTATTTTATGAATCTCCAAATCAATAATTTTTCCTCACGAATCTGGGCAACTTTAATGTGATTGTTTTGGAACTACTGTTAAACATCCTGAATGGTAATGGCCCCATGATGTGGAAACATTGAATTCAGTGAGAAAACATGGCATTCAACAATATTGGCAGTTGATGAGTATTAGTTATAATATAATTGAGCCTTGAATCTGCAATCCTAAAGATCAGACTTCAGACAACTTTTCCTTAAAACTGTACTTCACAAAACAACAAATCATGTCTAAGATGAAGCTCTTTGTACTTGGATCTTCCTCCTTTCAAAACCGGAAGTAGCAAAGTAGATTACTTCTAACAAACAAAATTGATTTTTCATCTATTCCATGGCACAAATTATGATTATGCAAGAGATAAGATCGCGGAGCACAAGTTTTGACAATTGATTTTGCAGTAGCTATTTGGAAAAATTGTGTAGCATTTTAAGGGTTAGTCAGTTCAGCTGCTGAATTTCACTATCAACTGCTGATGGTAATAAAAGATGACTTTTCTTTTGTCAAACTTGATTATCTTCCCCATCTTCTACATTCCACTGCTACACACCAGGTCTAACCGCAAAAGTAAGCCTAGTTCACAAGCCTTTTGCTCCTATATCTATGGACCAAACATTAAATAAATAAATGCTACTGAGAAATTGTGTCAACCTTGAGACTATTGTGTGCAGGTAGACTTCTAGATTATTATTGAATTGGGCACCCTGGGTTGTTCCGTCTGCTACTTGTAGGATTAGACGTCATGGCACAAATAATTGACTACTGTTTCAGATTCAAAGGGAGACTAGCCAACTTTCTAAATCGGCTGCAATTTTACATGCCAGAAGAGGTTAGATTTGGTCTAAAGTCAGACAACTT